CGCGGTCTTGCTGGAGGCCGTCCTGGAGCCATGACACTCTCCCCAGGACCTGCAGTGGGCTCCTGTCGCCGGGGCTCGTGTTCCCAGCAATGCTCGGGACACGCACAGGCCCTGGCCATGCTCCGTGAAAGCGGCCGCCTCCCTCCCGTGCCCACACCCTGTGGGTGGCCCTGGCCCAGGGTGGAGCTCTTGCTGGCCGACCCAGGCCAGCACCCAGTGGCCGTCACTGTGCCCAAGCAGAGACATGGGGAGCCCTGTGCCACACCTGGGCTGGGTGCAGTCTGTCGTGAGCACAGCGAGAAGCTCTTCCTGGGTTTTTGGAGCCCCAGGGCCCCTGCTGCTGTCTTCGTAGTCCGTCCCAGCCCAGGGCTGGCCAGAGACCTGCCTGTCCCCAAGGCCTGGAGGCCCTAGGTGTAGCTCCTGTGTCTCCTTTGCCACCCAGGCCGCCTGGCCATCGCATGGCAGGTGCTGCCCCCGCCTGCCACCCAGCACCGGGTGGCCCCGGTGGTGGACACGCACCTGGAGGCATGCCTGCACTCCCCGCAAGCACTCCTCTCCGGGCCGCTCCCGATCCCCCCGCCCTGCCTGCCTCTGTCCAAGCTGTGCTCACCGTGCAGTCCTGGCCTTGGTCTTTGGCCTTTCACTGCACCCCAGCTGGGGCTTGGCGTCTTTGGGGCTCCGTGGCACTGTCGAAGAGCGTGCTGCCTCCACCCACGCCCCACACGTCTGGTGAGGTCCCTCGCCCCCACACTAGGCCCTGTGTCAGCTCCAGCTGGGGCTCTTTCTGGTCAAGCCCTCCCTTGGGGGCTGCAGGCTGTGCGACCTGTGTGGACCCGACCTACCTGGTGTTCGCATCAAACGGGGGGCCGTCCCCAGGAGACAAGACTCACTCAATTTGGGTGTTTTAGGTTTGTTTTAGTTTAGTTTTTGCTGTGGGGCATGTACACTGGCTAGAAAGAGGGAAAGTGAGAAATTACCCCCTGGGGATAGCCGCGCCTCAGCCCCGGGAGCTCCTGGGACGTTGGGCGCACGCGCACTGGTGTGGTTTTCAAGCCAGGTCCGAGACAAACTGCGGCCAGCCGTGTGAGAGTCCAGTGCCCTGACTACCATGCCCACTGATCTTTTCAATTCTTCACTTTCTTCCCCTGTAAGGCCTGTGGGCTCACCAGGGGCCGGGAAGGAGAGAGCGAGAGATCACGCCCTGGGGGATGGCTACTCCTCAGTCCCTTCGCCTCCCCTCCTTTCCTTCCTCTCTGGATTTTGGGCAGCACACACATGTGCCTGGTGTGTTTTAAGCCCTTGGGCCCAGAATGCAGACATCCCAGCCGTGTGGGGTACAGCTGACGCCCCAGTGGTCTTTTACCTTACTTTTGAACGACAGAGAGAGGGCAGTGCCCCTCTGCAAAGGGCCTGCCTCTAAAGCCTGAGGGGCGGTGGGGGAACCGCCCCGCCAGAGCTGGGCCTGTGCTGCCCTCTGCTGGGCGCCGTCTGCTCTGTCACTGCTAGGCCAGTCCGAGGAGGGCCTCGTTGGCTTCAGGGGCCCCTGAAGCACACAGGTGTGGGACCCTCCTCTGTCTGTCCCCTGCACCCCCATGCTGTCATGCTGGCGGCCACCAGGACTTAGGACATGCCTGTGGGTGCCCCGGTGGTGCCGCACGCTGTGGGAGCATCAGCCCTGGCCCTGCGAGCCTCTGAGGCTAGGAGGCCTGTGGCCAGCACTGCCGTGGCTGCCCTGCTGGGGTCACTGCCTGCTGGACCCCCGTGCCCACATGTTAGGCAGCCGCTCCCACTGGCAGGGCAGGAGGGCGCCATGGACACAGGCTCTCAGCTGTTCCCGGCTGGGGAAGAACTTAGTCCCTGAGACCATGACAGGAGAGGGCCCCCACAGAGGGGCTCGTTCTCCCAGCAGTCCTGGCTCTGCTGCAAACCTGCCCCTCCCTAGGGTGGCCCAGCTCCGGGTGTGGGGACAATCTCTCTTCTAGGTGGGGCTGACCCCGGACTGGTGGTGGGGTTGGACTGCGCTCTAGGCCCCTGGCCAGCTGGGAGGGGGCCCCCACAGCACAGGCCGATGGCTGTGTCACCTGCCCTGGCCCATGTCCCACCCTGGGTGTGCAGGAAGGAGGGGTCCCTGGCCTGAGGCCCCGGGTTCACTTGGACCTGGGCCAGGCCAGAGCTGCTCTGGTCGGGGTGGCCCTGTGGGTGCTCAGCACCCTCAGCCTCTAGTGGCTCCCCACAAAAGGGCTGGGGTTGGAGGGCATCGTGTCCCGAGGTGACCACCTTGCACCTCTCCGCAGGCCAGCAGCCCTTTCCCGAGCCCAGCCGAGTATGCAGAGGACAGCTCCGACGAGGAGGTAGGCCGGCTGAGGTGGGAGCTGTGTGTGGGCGGCTTCCTGCAGGGGGGCCACTGCCGGGGTGGGTTGCCACTGGGGTCCCCGTGGGCGTCCTGGCCTGGGGCCTGCTCCCGTCTGGACGAGTGGTCTCAGGGCTTGGGTTCGGGCGACCAGCTGCATGTGTGTCAGCCCGAAGGGAGGGGCGGGCCCTGGGACCTGCTGGGCCCTGGTGGTGGTGAGCACGCGCTGGCCGTGTCCCCAGGACTATCCTCTCGGGGGGTAGATGGTCCTGGGGCTCCCGCACACCGTGGGTGGGTGCTAGGGCAGCTGGCTGTGGCCTGGTCTGCTGTCGGCTTTACCCCGCCTCCTGCCCTTCACCCTCCCCGATGGCTGGTGTGGGCTTCCTCGGGATGGCTGGCGGGGCCTGGGATGGCTGGAGCACTTACACAGGAGGGGCAAGAAGAGGTGGTTGTTTCTGAGGACTTCA